AGGACTCATCCTCATGCTAATGATGGAAGGCCTTTAGAGAGTTCATCATATGAATCTCCCTATCACATGCACTCATATTAGCTGGAGGGAACAGTAAATTACGCCCTAGTAAATGAAAGGTAATTCCACAACTTGCTTTATATAAAAAAAGTACATGTTAGGTGAGACCAATTTGGCACTCTTTTGCAAATTATAACAAATGTTGGTTTTCATATGTAGTACCTCCCAACAGAATGGCCTTATTTTGGGTGGTGGCATTCCTTTCCAAACAGCCTACATAGGAAACAATAGCAAAGAAGAGGCTCTTTGGATCATTTGTCACAATTGGAATTTGAGGTTTCTATTACTTTTGGATATAAATTGATATTGTACATCATCTCTTTTATCCTTTTTCTTCGTGTTGCACTTAATTCATTATATTGCTAGAAACCTGATCCTAATGTCCCTTGTTTTGCTGTTCCTCTCTTGTTTGTCCTGAAATTTCCAGAATACATCTGCTCAAACCCTTCCTTCTATCATCTCACCATCAAATCTTGTTGCAAGTACAGTTCCACCAATGATGATGGTGATAATGATTATGATAATCACCACCGTCATTATTATTATTATTATTACTACTACTACTACTATTTCTAGTACTATTATTAGTACAATTACTAGTACTAGTAGTACTATGTGACAAATTCGGTAAGTATTAATTTAGGTCTTGGTAAAATCACAATATTCAAATGCTATATGTTTGAAGGTTTGGTTAGCTAACCAATAACTTGGCAATAAAATGGACAAGGTATTCTGCTTTCTTAGGTAGCAGTATTCTCTAGATGCAATTGCATAACATTCCATGTAACCAAATATTGTTTATCTCAGGGGATTAATGTGGAAAAAGGAGTTTGATACAAGCTATGTTGGATTTATGAAGGATGGTGCAAAATGGTTGGTTGAGAACACTGATATCAAACTTGTTGGTAAGATCAATAAACATCATAATTTTGAAAAGATTGGGGTCTTTGCATGTTCCAGTAGATGGTAATTAGTAGCTTATTTAGTAGATATAATGAAATATTTCCCATATGGCATGACAATGTACAGTGGTCATTGCTGTGAAGTAGCAACGAAATTGCTTCAGATAATTTCCTTTGGCTTTATGGTAGAGCTAAAGTGCTACTAAAGTGTTGCTATTCCATTGTGGTAACTATGTCCTACTTGAGAAAGAACAAGTGGTAATTTAATGCTCATATCTAGAGAATCACAAAAAGAGCAGTACTCCATGCATGTTCAGCTTGGTGCCTTTAGAGCATTTTTTGTCATCTTATTTTCTTTTTTGAAAAAAATAAAAAAACAATGCTTACATGATGGTTATGATGAGTTGCATATGGCTGAGCTTTTGTCACTCTTGAGGGGATCGTGGCTGGCATGATCTTTAGGTTATGCTAGAATCATGGTAGAGAGAGGCTCTCAGGTTATACTGGTCTGGATGATAGATAGAGGAGAGCATCCATCACTCTATGAACTTAATGGAGGTGTTAATATGTCTAGAGATAAATGCTAACACAATACACTTTGGACACATGGAGTGCCCCTATCACATGAGTTAGAATCTGTAAGCTGGTTCAAATTGCCCTCTTTAAGCATCAATTCTTAAAAGTTTTATGATATTTCATTTGTCTATTGATAAGTAACATGAATGCCAAATGCAAAACTGCCAAAGAAAGAAGCTGGCAAGAAATTGACTAGGTGTGTTCAAACATTCCAAAGTCTATTCATGGTTAGGTTTGATTTTTGTGATCATATTATTGTATGTGGTTCATCCTCATGTCTTAAGCCTTAAATATTCAAATGTTAATATTATTATATATTGACATTGTCATAATCATCATCATCTAAACCTTGTGGGGTTGGTTGCATGAGTTTACATTATTATATATTTTAATAAATTTTAATTACTGATTCATGAACTAATACATTATCCTAATTTTTCTCATTGGATCTTCTTATGAATGGTAAAATAGGCTCCAGCATATCTGTCTTATATGCAATCATGGCCTACTATTTATGCACATAAAGTTTGAAATTCTCTCCCAGCAACATCCTTTTTGAACCAGTAGAGCTCTATTCAAAGTTCTGTGTTTATTACAATTGCACTTTCGGGTTCTTATTTTTCCAAATAAGTATTGATGATTAATTTATTTGTTCCAACATGCAGGAGTCGATTACCTATCTGCTGCAGCATATGATGATTTGATTCCTTCTCATCTTGTTTTCCTGGAAAGCAGGGTAAGCGGCTTATTCAAAATGAATTGCAAAATGTCGATTGCTGATAAGCAGGACTTTGATCAATCAATTTGTCCTCCGTGCAATGTGTGAACTATTTGGGTACACAGGGATTGACAAGTTGACCGCTAAATAAGATGTGCTAACAATGATGCAAAGTTCTGTGTGTTTGTGTGTCTGTGTCTGTTAGATGCAAGTTGGGTACCTGATTTGAAGCCTTTAAATTACTCAATCCCACCTCAGTTGTACCCATCCAATTGTGAGACTAGATATGATATTTTTTTTTATGAGAAATGATGAACTTTTTTTTAAAGGGAACCGTGTCAATGCTCAAAAACAAAGCAGCAAGCTAAAACTAGTAGAAAGGACTTCAATGATAATATATTACCAGCACCTATGCTCACAGATCTCTAATTACAGCAAAGCAGAAAATTACAGATTACAACCCAGCCCTGAACATCCCCATTTGCTGATTCCTTGCCACTACTGCCCTGGCTAAAAGAGTCTGCTAGTCTGTTAGCACTTCTAGGCACCCAGTTGAATGAGCTATTCAATATGGTACCTAAGGATTGTATTTGTCTCACCATCATCCTAACTTTCCAAGGAATCAAATCTGCAGATATGATATAAAACATTTAGCATACATGTCCCTCTTTTGCAAAAATAGAGAGAGACTGGATGGTCTGAGATAGGGAAGGATAGTTTTTCTGTTTCAAAGAGAGCTTGGAGCGGTGGTCATTGGTCATGGCACATTCTCTAATGAACTCATTACGGGAAGAAAGACATGAGAACTTCATCTTTCTATTTTATGCCTTGTTTCTTTTTGATATACCCTCACCCATTTTTTCTACTTTGTATTACAACATGCTATCCCAAACACTCTACAGTTTACTGAGTTCAAATCAATATGACAATATAGATGCATATATATAATACTATTTTAAATTGATAGAAATAAACACAAGCGAAAATAAAAATGCTGAAAATAGATTTATGGTCTACTGCTTGTTAATTGACCTTGTTGATGCTTAAGTTATCTTTGTTGACCATATCACAGGTATTAACTAGTGAATGGTACAGTCAATATGGCCCTCAATTGACTATTCGATGCTTTGATTGCACTGATGTTTGATAAAAACTTTTCCTTGAGTTCATCTCTCTAGTGATTTAAACAAGTGTTCTTTATCTAATAGGCCTTTTTGAATGTTTAGATCAGCCACTCCCCATCCCTGATCCTGATTTTGGAATAAATCCCTGTCCCCGACCCCGATCCCTAACGGGGTAAAAGTTGTCCTCCATCTCCGATCCCCGGTGGGGATGGATTCCCCATGGGAACCCAAATCCCCAAAATTTTTTAGTTAACAGTCTTTTTTTTGAAAAATAAGTTTACTTAAAATAAATAAAAATGAAGAAATAGTTGGTTAGCCACGAGTGTGGGGTTCCATACCCACACTCAGGCTCTAGTGTGTGTGGTTTCATACCCACACCTAGTTGTTTCTAATTTCTTTTATTAGTAGTTTCTA